TCGGAACTCCTATAAGATCACTCAGCAGTCTGTCAATTTCCCAAATCTCCATTTATACAAAATACGTGGATGTAGCTAAAATTACTTACTAAGAAATACTCAGATCTACTAAATCGTACATTTATATTTGTAGGAGAGGCTTCATGATCTAACGTGTAGTAAAAGCAAAGGGAAATCTAAAAAAAAATATTTATGGTAACTTAAATAATAATAATTAAAAAAAATAACCAGTGTGCTTTAGACTACAAGACTAAAGTAAAATTTCTTTGTCTCCATCTATATGTAATATGTAATACATATGTTTATGTTTATACATATATGTACAATACAGACATGTATTGTACATATATGTATATATGTATAGACATGTATATATGCACTGCACACATGCACTAGCAATGAAAGGAAGCGAGAACGAAAATGTGCGTGCGCTCTGATTTTCCCTTACCTCTTACAAGTTCAAGATTCAAGTTTTGCAGAGTAGTTTAAATAGTATCTACATTTACTAATATCTCATCTCCTTATACACGTACATATAACATTTTAAATAAGGTAATAATGATTAATTCTATATACTTAATCCATTTTTTTTCTGAAACACAATTACCATTCATCCAACGATTCATTCCTTCATGTATACATCCATCAATCCCTCTTGCCATCCATGCATCCATCCATTATGATGATAACGATGATGATGATGATCCATAAACCGTAACACTCTCTTTATCCTTACTAACTTATATCTCCCTCTCATTTTCACTCACCTCACCCGATCAAGGATTCGCAAGGCTTTCATCAACTTACCCCCAAGTGTGCGAAAAGGACTTAAAAATTCTGTTTAGGTATCTACCGGTTATTGTTGTGTAGTACATTCAGTAATCTTAAATTCTGTTTATTAAAACTGTATTTTGACTTAATGCGAATCTCTCAATGTAGATACGTATCTAATCTGGAATGTTTCAGTAACTTTATAATATTTTCTGAAGCTTTTACATATGAAAATATTAAAACTGTATTTTAACCTTCGTACGAATATCTCAATGTAGATACGTTCCAGGAACTTTATAAAATTTTCTGAAGCCTTTACATATAAAAATTAAATTTCAATAATATTCCCTCTACGTTTTTAATGTCCGCCATGCAGCTATTAATTAGTATTTATTGAACTATCGAAATATTTCTTAGTTTCGCTTCCGTTAACTTTAAAAAAGTATAATTGTAACAGATACATATATATTATATATTTTAAATAGAACAAGGAAGTGTCAGTTATTTTTCCGTTTTTATTTACTTTTTCAAACCGAATTTCATTACCTTGTTTTTTATTTAGGTATAAATATCCGAATATTTTTTTCACTTTCTTTGATTTCTTATACAGATTTGATATATTAGTGTGCTTGCAAGAGCATTAACAAATTCAATCAGTATTTATATGTCATTGTAGCGGTAAGCCTCAACATGAAAACATATTTATAAATAGATGCACAATAAATTGATATCCTATTTTCTTTTATCAAGTAAAAATTATTCAAGACACTCATGAAAATGTTGGACATCTAAATAATAAATTGCAAAAAAATTATGACGTTTTTGTATTTGGTGATTAAAAAAATATGTAGATGGCATAAATACAGAAAGACACAAACTCAAGAAAATTGCACACAGCCCGGTTGAGGTTTTAACCAGAACTGCGAAAAGATTTCCTCAAAAACATAACGAAACAACCCAGTAGTAAACTAATGTAAGAATTACGATCCCTCAGAAAAATATGTTAGAGGACAAGATGTATCCAGGCGACAACAGATTTTGAAAGTCTTATCGAATATTAAAAATACTATTACAGCCTTTTAAGATGCAGATTTACATGCTGCTTTCGAAATTATCACCTAGCAATAATAGCAATTACTTTCTATAGAAGTCAATTAAATCTAGATCTTTGAAAAATCAAATGTCTCTGATAAAATGATCTTCCCAGAACATCTTTTAGGTTTATTCTACTAGATGGAATGAAAAATCATTTTTATGATTGCTTGCGAACTTACCAATTTGCGTTCAGAGAGCAGCAGGATTCTATAGATCAACTGCAGAACATTGAACCTATTAACCTAAAGGTGGATACCAAAAAATATTTTTCTGCTGTCTTTTTGGATATAGTCCAAGCTATCAGCAAAATCTCTCATGAGGGATAACTGTGCAAAATTTTAAAAGTATTACTTCATTATTTTCTATAAAATCAAACCTCCAGACAAGATGCTGTGGAGTAAAAATGCTCTGCATGAAATAAAGTAGACGGTCCAATAGGATATTATAGGGTCAGTATAGTATATTACACATATGTAATTGAGCCATAAATTCACTTACAAATGTATTTTTTTTTTGGATTTAATGTAATATTATTAAAACGTATTCATTAAAGTCTCTTTCTATTCGAAACTGCCACTTTTGGCTTTCGTACTGGCGTTTAATCTATTTGACCACAAACCCATGGGCGTATGAACTGATTCCAAGAAAATTTCGCCACTGTTTACTCAAAAGATTTTTTAAAAGACTCAATGTCTCTTTGTCATTTAGATTAGGCCCTAGACCTTTTAAACTGACTATAAATTATAATCTAAAGGGTTAAAGTTTGGACTAGCTGAGAATAAGTCTTGAGCTCTTTTAAAGTCCAGAACGCTAGTTTTAAGCCACGCTTGAGTAGTTCGTACCTTGTGATTAGGTGTAGTTTTTGTAATTCTTAGATAAGAAATGGCCCACCAAACCATCACCGACACAAGATGATCACCACGTTGTACATACATAACAGACAATACTGTAATGATATCAATTCACACCGATCCAGCAACAGCATCTGATTTGCTATAATTGTGTCTCTATTAAATAGAGAAGTAGGTGAAAATCTGGCCATGAAAGCAAAAGAGATTAAATTACCCAATTTCACATTTACTCTCAGAAAAACCTGTCCTGCAATGACGTTAAATGGTGTAGAAATCCTACAATAACAACATACACTTATAAAGAAGCCTAACGTGACAAAAGTACTTTTGCGCTAAACACAAACAACTACATACAAAATTCACATATAATTGATAATAGGTCGGAAGTCACATCTTATTATCGATACCTAAATAACAATGCACAAAGCCACCGTGATATTAATTTGGACTTACGTAATCTATATTTGAGGTAAAGCCAGCCATAGTAACATCAAAGTTCTTGAGATATTCCAAAACTACAAATGAAGATGGATATTCAGCACACTATTATATTATTTACTAACAAATGCATCTACGATGGTCTAAAGATTAAAACTGTGGAGGACAAAATTAACAAACTAAAGTATAATAGGTACATCAAGAGATATATATGGCACAAGAAAGCGCAGTAGATGAAAGATTAAGCCGATGTGGATCACTTCAATATAAACTATTAAACAGCAGTGACATATATTGACACAACAAGTGCAACTTAAGACACAAATTAGCTGAGCTCATTGCTACTAAAATCATTTGAGGTGAATGTTACACCAGACAGAAACAGGGCTTTTTAACACTACAGATTGCCATAATACAGATATGTACATTATAAATTTTTTTTTAGTAATAATCTTCAATTTACTATAAAAAAGGTGGGTTCTCAGGGTGGCGGCGTAAATGACGATACGTTATATAAAAGAACACTTTTTAATGCACGTTACAACGGTTAGAATACCAATGGCCGATATATTCAATATGGCGGTATATCGGTATTATATTCAATATCTTGACTTAATTTAATATTCAATTTGTAAACTTAAGAGATAATATTAAACATTGTTTATCTTAATTATTCTAATTATTATTTATGGACAAATATTATTTAATAATACAGGATTATGTAACATTAAATATTAAAGGTTGATATATTACACCGGAAGTTTATAATCTAGTCATATCAGTAAAATAAGGTTCTAGTAGCTTAATTCTTGCATTATACACAACAAAGCAAAATTATTATAGCATTGATTAATCGACATAATTTGAGAGAATATAAATAACAATAAGCAATATTTATTAGGCGCCATTAATAAATAGAATAACATATAATAAAATGTTCCAAGTATAAACAAATATGAATCAACTATTTATTTGATTATTAAATTACTAATTAAATTGTTGAACAGAAGTTTTAATCTATACTTATAAATAATCATCACGATGTACCCGAACTAGCCGTATATGTAGGACCGGAAGTATTAATGGATAACATTCGGCCATCCTGTGTATGCCGTGTCCCACGGCGATCAGCACTGCTATTGGCGCCTGGTTTGTCGCTGCTGTACGGCACCTGAAATTGATATGTCTAAGCCGTAATTAAATCTTGTTTTATCTAATTTTTAAGTATACAGCTTTTATTTATCTTAGATAACATAACTATTATTCGTCCTCCTTCACACAGCTTTTATTTGATCTACATCACACAGCTTTTACTTGATCTACATCACACAGCTTTTATTTGTCCTACATCACACAGCTTTTATTTATCCTACATCACACAGCTTTTATTTGTCCTACATCACACAGCTTTTATTTGTCCTACATCACACAGCTTTTATTTGTCCTACATCACACAGCTTTTATTTATCCTACATCACACAGCTTTTATTTGTCCTACATCACACAGCTTTTATTTATCCTACATCACACAGCTTTTATTTGTCCTACATCACACAGCTTTTATTTGTCCTACATCACACAGCTTTTATTTATCCTACATCACACAGCTTTTATTTATCCTACATCACACAGCTTTAATTTAATGTAATTTATACAACCTCTGTCCTAAAGTAGTTTGATTTTTTTTTGATAATTGATGGAATAGATAAATATTTTGTATGACAGTTTATTTTTCTCAATACAATATTTGTTCTGCACAAGTTTTGTTTTATAAATTGAGATTTACTTTGTAATAATAAAATAAATTTTAACATATCTATTTATTCACTAGCATATGATTATTAATTAACTTTCTAATAAATCTATCAAGTCGTTCCTATCAACCTCATGGTCACTGCCGCTGCTATCATCGGGAATGGAAGAATTGTAAGGTCGGAGGACTTCACCGCGAACAACAGCCGTAAATTTTCGATAACCTTTCATGCCTTTAATACTACATATTGTGTAGCGATCTAACGAGTGTTCTGCTTTGCTTACTCTATAGGGTCCTGTATATAACCCATTAAGTTTCCTAGTTATATTAGTGCTTTCTCTGGTTATTCCTATAAAGTACCAATTGTCCTATCTTTTTATACAAATCTATGTATATGTTGTATGTTGTAAATTAAACATCACTTACTTTTTGATGTGTAGAGCTGGCCGCATACCAGCAGCTAGCAGACGTGTGACCCGGGCGATGGCACACCTCGCAGCGTGGCACCTTGCAGTCCTTTGCTTCATGCCCTTCTCTTCGGCAGGCATAGCATTTCTTCGGTTGAAAGTCACTCCCTCTTGTAATTGTAGCAACGGCGTCCCCTCTTCGCCACGTGGTAGTTGGTCGCGGATGGCTGGCTTCAATTTGTTTGTAGGTTTCCAATGACGACAAATACCCGTAGTATAGTTGCTGTGGTGTACTGCATTGGAATGCTTTCGCGTTGGCTCTTATTTCCATGGGTAGACCGCGAATTATGCACGATATTGCAGACTCGCCATTGATATTGCATTTTTTTAATAAAGAAACCTTGTCGTGGAAATATTTTGTCATAGTTTCCGTATTCGTTTTCTTTCTAGCGAGCATAGATTCAAGTAAATCCACAAAGTCAGTAGAACGTGGGAATGCGGTCTTTAAAGCGTCCTTCCACTCCGTCCATGTGAGATCGTAGTCATCCAGATCTTCATACCAGTCTCTAGCCGACCCTCGAAGACGTATCTGCATGATGAACTGTCGATCTTTGTTGTCCCATCCGTACACGTCGCCCAATTGGTCGATCTTATGCAACCATCCCTTGACGTTGCTAGATTTTTCATCCGGTCGGAACGTTGGAATAACCTCCGCGTCGGATTGGGTGACACGTCGCTTCTTATATCGCCTGTGTTTCTCCAAGATCTCTTCGTCATCGGGTGAAGAAAAAAAACTTGATGATTCGTCGCTGTCAAGTACGGCGTTCTCGCAGCGTCTCCTTTTCTTTGTACCAAGTCCGTCGATATATGGGCCAGACATCATCCCACTTCTGAAGTATAAAAAAGGTGGGTTCTCAGGGTGGCGGCGTAAATGACGATACGTTATATAAAAGAACACTTTTTAATGCACGTTACAACGGTTAGAATACCAATGGCCGATATATTCAATATGGCGGTATATCGGTATTATATTCAATATCTTGACTTAATTTAATATTCAATTTGTAAACTTAAGAGATAATATTAAACATTGTTTATCTTAATTATTCTAATTATTATTTATGGACAAATATTATTTAATAATACAGGATTATGTAACATTAAATATTAAAGGTTGATATATTACACCGGAAGTTTATAATCTAGTCATATCAGTAAAATAAGGTTCTAGTAGCTTAATTCTTGCATTATACACAACAAAGCAAAATTATTATAGCATTGATTAATCGACATAATTTGAGAGAATATAAATAACAATAAGCAATATTTATTAGGCGCCATTAATAAATAGAATAACATATAATAAAATGTTCCAAGTATAAACAAATATGAATCAACTATTTATTTGATTATTAAATTACTAATTAAATTGTTGAACAGAAGTTTTAATCTATACTTATAAATAATCATCACGATGTACCCGAACTAGCCGTATATGTAGGACCGGAAGTATTAATGGATAACATTACATTTACTCATATGTTTTGCCATCTAGCAAAGTCAGTGAGAGAAAAAAACTATTCATGATATCGAGATGGCATTGTTTTCGTAGAAATATTTTTTCGTTGGACCGTTTCACTCTTCTGTATTCCGTTATAGGACTTTCGCCACAATCAGTACGTTGTTTATTTAATAGATGGCACTATTTGAGAAAACGTTGTAATATCACATATTATAAGTTTCTCTATTAAAGTGGCACTACAACATTGAACTGCTTAAAAACCCTCTGTAAGATGGAGCAGTTCTTATTTGCAAAATAAAAAAGGTTGAAAAGTTTTATTGAAAATTGTGTCTAACAGTTTGGATAACTTTCAATTTTATCATCAACATGGTAGGTACATATTTTAAATAAAAACACGTAAAACTTTATACATTTTATTTAAAAAAAATGGAATGATTCGAAATACAATAATAGTTTAACACATAATAACATACAAAAATTCATTCAAAAATATGCATATTTCATAAAAAACATTTTATTCAAATTAATTTTTTTATTGCGATTAATTACTTATCATTGAAATAATGTAGTGAATAACAATTGTAATTTTTTTAAGTTTTCAGTATAATGATAATAATAATCAATGTAAAAACACAAGTGTTGAACAAGTATTAACAGAAACACAAAGACAATGTGATTATTTCAATACATATATATCTAATAATCTATTTGATCCGTGAATAGAAGCTATTGTCTTTAAATAAGATTAAAAACTAGGGGTCACTTACAGGAATATTTAGTAAAACTTATTTTACTACCTCAGGTTAGTTACTAACATAATTATTTCTTAACAGTGATTTATTCTTGCAGTACAATAAACTTATTTCATTCCGCTAAATAGAGATCTATATTGTATAATATTATGAAAGAAAGGTTTTTGTTGAGTTGGTAGAATACTTTAATCTCAGGGAGTGGTGTTATAATATTATACCAAAATTATTATGTTGCCTTTGTATAAAAACAGCTACATACCTTAAGTTACGACCAAAAGGAATGAACTAGGAATCAAAACAATATAGACATTCACATGAACGAAAAGCTCTATATTGTTTAAGTTTTTTTTAAAGAAATTTGTATTACTTTTAAAGTGTATATCAAAATCGAAAATATATGGTAATGTTTTACCCACTTTTTTTAATGAAGGATATTTTTTTTACAACCAATACGTTTTGGAATGTTTTAGTCTGCTATCAAATATGTTGTATAAATAACTTAAAAAATACTTGGCAGCAATAAATGGGGAATCACGAACTTATTTTTATTTTTTCATTTTAAGGCGGCAAACGAGCAGACGGCCTATCTGATAGAAGGTAATCCCCGTTGCCCAAGAACATCTGCATCTTAAAAGCATATTTTTATCGTTGCGAAACACACAATAAATCCACCTTTATAATAATCTGAACATAATTTTACAGTGTAAATTAAATATGTATGTCTAAAATACTCGAGTCACAATGGTTATATTTTTGATCGGTTGTGTTAAAGATCTTTAAAACGACTTTAGTGTTAAGGTCGGTCTACACGTCAATGTCGTTTTTTCGTTCTCTTCTCGATTTATCTTAATGAATTCATAAAAAAAACTTGTATACACAGTGTGGATCCGGCTTTAATTATAATGACGAATTATATGAGATCTTAGCTTTGAAGAGTTATAATGAGAAACTTATATAAAAATTAATATCAAAATTATAAGTTTTGGAAGGTAAAGTATTTTTATCGGCGGTGGTATTTTTGTGATGGTTTAAAGCGAATCTAATAATTTAATACTTTTGTTTAGTATTACTTTTCTAGCATTATATTTTCGTATACTTAAATTAAATATAATTAATAAAATCATTTTTTGTTCAAGGCATAATTTGAGTACATAGTTTGTTTTTAGAAAACGAATTAATTCACTAATAACTAATTTTTTAAGCATTTTCACAATTTACATAAAAAAGCTTAACTACTTATAAATAAGAAACTACAATTGATTAAAGAAAAAAAAACATAAATATATTTGACTTAATTGTCAAAAATTGTGAGTCATTGAGTCTTCAAAGTAATCAATAATGTTTGCAGTTTATTTTAAATACTCGTATGGAAAGCCATAAATTAAGGTAACTTATAAATTATTTTAAAATAATACATGTTGTTAAAAATTATAAGAACAGCGACCCACAAATCCCAGAGGATATGAGAATACTCGCGTATTTAAAGGCGTTTTATATTATTTGACTTTACGGTTCTTACGGAAACCAACACCCCCAAAGACAATGCTATCAAGATCAACAAGTATTATTAGGCAATTAATGAACTTACTAAGAATAGGGACGTCGTAAATTTGTCTAATAATTTGCCCTAGTAGGTTCAATTCAAATTTGGTTAAGTAGAGCGAGGGGCTTGGACGGTGTGGGTGAGCGTTAACGCGCTTTAGATAGAGACCCATTAAAATTTTACCTGGTTTAGAATACCAGGCACTGTTGACGCTCCTATAACGCGGTGGACCCGGCACCCGAATGATCAATTCATGGAATGATGAGAAGTTTCTTCACATACATCCTATATAATACTGCATAGGAATAATATAAAGCAAACAAATAATCCGATAAACAAATACCTTGAGAAAATAGATAATGTACAAGTTAATTTTATCACGAACTACATGTAATCTGTGGGAGTCATAATAAAGTGAACCTTATTGCACTGAAATAAGCTTAACACATAAAATGCCGCAAGTAAAGAAATAAAATAGATAATAAAACATAAGCGATCGAAATTTTATAACTCGTATACCCACGTAGACTTTACTATAAAATAGGTTTATTTTGATACAAAAAGTGTATTTTGAATATATAAACTGTAGAAGCTGTGTTTATAAGTGTATAGTGGGAAGCGTGTTGTATATAATGTAATAAGTTTTGATACTACTGGTTTGATGATCTCTGCTGCCTCCAGGCTGAATGGAAACCAGCTGCGGAGTCGGAGTCCGAGTCACCTTCTTCGTTTAAACCTATCTGCGCACGTGGCTGAAAAAAAAAACATTAGTGAAGACAACTATATTGATAATCGTAAATAAACAATTTGTGGTAATAGATCCTAAGATTTTAAACCACTCTAGTAACGTTTGAGGACTTAGTGGCTCTATATAAAACGTGTAACATAATTAACGCACACCCTGAAAGTAGTTTGTTCAGAATCGGAATCTGGATCGATTTTTATAGTTTTTTATGTAGGTCATTTTTTTTCTAAAATTTAGATAGAACTAAGTAAATTCGAGCTTCGGGACGTCACGTCGTAGGAGTGACAGCTGAGTCTGTGGTTCCAATAGTATAAAATTAAAATAAAATACATAGATCAATTAAACAGTTTTTATTATACTGGCTAATTGTGAGTGTGACAATATTTCGTGTAAAAACTATAGTGGAAAGAAACTAATTATAATACTAAAATAATTCGAGCTAAGTGTTACGATATACCCACGTAACTTAAAAGTGACAAAACATAAAATTATTATTCCTTACTTCTACTAGTGATTAAAATAGTGTGTGTCCAAACTTAGTAACTACAACCTTTAATGCTAATTAAGCGAATTATTTAGTAATAACAATTTGCAAAATAATTAACAACGCCATCTAGTAATCATCTGTAACACTGCATAGCAGTGGCGGCTGTACCTTAAGTGCACTCGTGCGCTGAACCACCAATTCAAAAGATTTAAAATTACAAAATATTACTTCATCTTCATTTTTAAATTACCATTTTAATATTTATTTTCTAAACATACAAAAACGTGTAAAAATTAAATTTCTAATTATAGTCAAAAAGTTTGAGCGCTTTAATACATTAATATCTCGTGCGTTTCGGCGAGTGCACGAGGATTGCTAATACATACATCTTGTATGAGATACGCATTAATACGCCTGACGCGTGAAACAAAAGATAGTTCATAGAAAAGTACCGAGTAACGAGTCGGTTTTCGAGCGCCGCACGAGCGGTCGAAGATTACCGAGAGCACCCGATGTATGACGAATTGGAATTGAAAAGAATCAAAACTTTTTTCCGATACACCATGCACTTGCAAGATGCACTTTCTGTGCTAAGTATTGAAAAAAATAATTATACAAACAATATCCGATTTTAATAAAAACTTGATTGAATATATCGCTTCAGAAAAATGTCGTCGCATTGATTTAATGTATAATAAATAAACATAGTTTATGTCAATTGGTTTTTTGTTACATTTTATAATGTAATATTTTAGTAAAGTGCACCACCAGTTCGATAACCCACCAGCCGCCACTGCTGCATAGTATCATATTATATCAATTATTATGGGAAATAAGTGCAAGCACTGTGGCAAATTCCTTGCTACAACAGATAGCGTTAAATGCTTAAAATGTGCTTCCCGCTATCACCGAGTCTGTCTTAATATCAGCCCAAACACTAAAACAAACGGAAAATGGATATGCCGTGATTGCAAATCGAGTCCTAAATTGTGTACACCCGTTCAGGCTCCTTCCCATCATCCCGAGGATGCCGTGGATGATACTTTCGCGGATGCCAACCTTGGCGAAGACACGACGGCAGCACTGTTGCAGGAGATACGATTATTAAGAAAAGAGATGGCATCCGTATCCCGGGAAATGACTTTTTTTCGAAAAGAGGTCTCTCGGCTTAACTCGACAATGTCGGAATTCAATAATCGCCTTACTACCGTAGAAAGTAGAATATCAGCTTTAGAAAAAGATGATATAAACAATCAAAGCCAAATTGAAGAAAGTACTAAAGCGGAAATATCGCGCTTGCGTATGCAAATGAATGATAGGGAGCAGGAATATTTAGCAACAGACTTCGAGTTAGAAGGCATCATGGAAAATCCTGGAGAGAATGTCAACAGCATCGTGCTGTTATCTGCTAGAAAAGTCGGCATCGATCTCACCAAACAAGACATCGTGAGTGCAGAGCGATCGGGACCTCGGCGATCCGTGGCGGCTGACGGCGAGCGAATGCGCCCGCGTCCCATCGTGGTGCGGGTGACGCGCCGCTCACTGCGCGACGACCTGCTGCGGGCAGCTTACAATCACCTTACAATCGTTACCTTTTGTTTAGAGCAAAAGAGGAAGGTAACAAGAGATGCTGGCGTTTTGTGTGGACGAGAGGGGGGAAAATATTTGTTCGGTGGAGCACTGATACACCTATCTATCGTATTCGTGTAGACACAGTTATAAAAAAGTTTTTTGAAACAGTATAGATTAGTCAGTTTAATTTTATACAAAAATAGTGAGCGCTCAGTCAATGTTGTGAGACGCAATATTCGCTATTTTTCTTTGTTTACTTTAGTTCTTAATTACGAATTACTTTTAACATTATCATTTTATTTTTATTCGTATATAGTTGCTTTGTTTATGTTATCAGTGGGACGCCCAAGTTTTTATTACATAGTTCATCATACTTATGCCAATATTCTTATTATACCTATACAATACATTATACATCATCGCTATTCCATTTTTACTTTATTACATTGATTCTTTCTGGATATACATATACACACGTATTTATAATTATATACTTTAACATAAATATATTTTCATATTTCGACATTATAGAGTTACTTAGAGAAGTTTGTATGTCCGATGCCTGGGTTACGTAAGTTAAGAATTGGTTTTTTTGAATCCAGGATCTCTGGGTTCACGCCGTGACGAATTCATGTTGGCTATTAACCGCCATGATGTAGACATTATGGCCTTAAATGAAAAATATATTTAGAAACAAATTAAATTGCAGTTAATGAATTTACAAACTCAGTCTTAATTAAACATATGTATTATACATTATGTGGGCCGTGCATTGGTCGTGTGTAAATTCTTACCTTATTGATATGGCCACTTGGAAAGGTGGCGGTGCTAATTGCTATCAGCAATTTTAGAACTTTTGTCATACATTTTGCTGGTTGATCGATGTACCTTTTCATTGTTTTATTGAAATCCCAATCTAAAATGCAATTATAATTTATCATATGATATTTACTAAGTTAATTTCCACAGATGGAAGCCAATAGCCCCATTGAATAATACAATAATGTCACTCACAAAACCATTTTATAATGATATTAAGAAATATTATTTTGTAACTTACCCACTGTAGCTTTTATGTCTTAGGTATATTTATTCTAGTTTCCAATAATATTCTTTGTTAAGTTATTTGCTCTTAGCTATTATACACTGCAACTTTGTTTAAACAATTAACCATTTACTAATTTTAAGTTTAGACTAATAATTATTGTAAGTTATTGAATCACATATTTCAAAATTTTTATTTTTATTCATTTATGACAAATTTTCTCACTTCCTACGACGTGACGTGCGTAGTTACTGGCAGCCACAGAATACCAGCGTTGAAACTCATGACAATGATTTTTCAACATAAGCTGAGTGGCTTACCAATTTAGGCATCACGTTCACGTTGTTCTTTTTTATACTGTTTTTTATATGTAAACTGTGTATGTCTAAATAAAGATTTTTTGATTTGATTTGATTTGATTTGATAAATTACAGTCATCCTACACACAGTTATCTAAACACTTCATTGAAACGAAAATGGATCGTAAGTCAGGGTATTAAGATTTTTAAAATGAAATATTAAATTAGTAATTATCATTCAATTAAAGAAAACTGATACTTGTTTCAAGGCCAAAATAGTATTTTACAAATATCTACGCACGCACTGCGGCAGCCGGCACACATATACCTACGCACGTGTCCATTGATCTCCTAGATCAGCTGATTTGACGCCACTCGACTTTTTTTGTGGGGCGAATTAAATTGCTAGTTTATAACACAGAGATAACAAGTGCCGAGGAAAAGTGACACTGCAGTATTATCTAAAATAAAACCACAATTGCGAAAACGGTCATTAAAGTGCATTGAACAAGGCGGTGGACATTTTGAAAATGTTTTAAAACGACAACGCCGTGCGAGTGCAAATTAAACTGTAAGTTTGTTTATGATCTTTATATTATTGTTAATATTTTGATTCACACCATTTAAACACGCCGACTTTGTCGTAGATATTGTGGTGTCTAATCAAATCACGCGTTATCAGCTGTTTAATAATTCTTATTTACAAATTTAAATTAACAAATCAGTAATTATAAAATATTGGCTTCATATTAAAAAAAATCTATGTCGACAATCTAAAGCCTGAAAAGTGTGATGGAAAGAAGAATCATAAATCATAATGTAGTTATTTCGTGTACTTATTATTACCTACTCCTTCTTATTGTCGGACGGCACTCGGAGAGAGGGGCGTAGGCGCGGCGAGTACATTGTGTCTGTCTATGTGTGCGTGTGCAGCAGTGTTGGTGAATAGCTGACCATATTATTTGCACGAAATTGGGATAACTAATTTCACAAATAAAAAATGCAAACGCACATATAAATAATATTTGGCATATGCATTGCGTTTATATTATTATATTCCAATTGGGGTGTTTGAGGGTGTGCGTTAAATACGTTACATGTAGTATACATAGTTCCAAAAGGTTTTATTAATCATATTATAAATGGGAATGTTTTTCTATTGGACTTAGAGGCCAAGTTTTATATAAACACTTTGTTAATGACAGAAAAGGACTACGCGAAGAAATAAGAGTCTCAATAACCATTTAGGTTTCAAATTAAAAAATAAATAATAACCAGAGTGTTACATATTTTTGAAATAGATGTTACGCTATTCTAGATACATTATTTTTTTATGTTCAATGGAAAATATACCTTATTGTTATAATTATAAGAGTTTAATACCTGGTCGGGTGTAGAGGGCGTGCTTCTACTGTGATTTGCAACTCCTCTCCGGCCGCTGGCACCGCGACGACGCACTTTACTGCTTAACGGTGGTGGCATTGATTTATCATCTTTCTGGAGATTTAAATTGACACAACGTTAGATTCTGATAATTGAATTTATGCAGAATTAGTGAAATCTTTAAAATTTGTAAATAATATTATCGCCAAATATCGGATGGGCACTACGCTTGTTGGTGTGAACGTGATATATATAATCTCTGCCAACATAGCCATCAATAGTTCAAAAAAGGTTTGATGAAACTTGAAACGCATGTTCTTGAGGTAAAACGAAATCGAACGAAACTGAAACATGCGACTATTTTTTGAACACTATACCAACATTACGCATACATTTAGTGAACATTATCAAAATTTTCTTAAATATTCGCACTTCTTTTATCTAAACAAACGTTATGTTTTCTTAAGTTGATGCAAGCTTCTCTTTATATGTGTATAAAAATGTCTATTCTACCTGAATATTATCTGCAGAACCCCATGATTTATGTAGTTCACCGTCATCGGACCGCCTATCGACATCAGCTCTTTTATGTACATACGCCGTCCTAGTAGCGCCAACACCCAGGAAATTACTGAATGCCTCTGTAGTCTTCTTGACACGAACGTTTAAGGAGCCGATGCGCAAGAAACCCTCCTTTTCTGAAAATTAGTTTTTTTTACATATTGAATTAATGTCGCGTTATTCAGCACCATGTGTTGAAATTAATTCAGATACACTTACAACACATGCAAGCTAACGAAACAAGATATAATCGAATCAAAGTTTCAAATATCCTTCTTCTATATAATCTTGAAGTAAATATAATACATGAATTATGTGATTAATCAAAATTCTATAATCCAAATGTCAATAGTAGTTTAAACAATAACTTTGTTAAATAGATATCCAAAAACGTAGTCTGAACAATGTGCTAAGACGTAATATTTATATGAAGTATAAAATAAAATACAGTGTTAACTCTATATAACGACACTGAAGAGACTGTGCATTTTATGGCGTTATAGAGAGTTGCCGTTAAATAGAGAGAAGAAAAATCAGAATTAGAAAAAGACAAAGTTTATTTCAGACTAGTGTTAGTATGTACTAAATGTTTCTTTTATACATATGTACATAAAAAAGAATGTTATTCGAACGCTATTGCGTATAGTCAGTTATTTTTGTTTGACGTCTTTTGCTGCACCAGTACTGTTGTTGTTGTATTTGTTTAGTTATTTTATTAATATCTTGGGATATTGAGGCATCTTGGTGATAAAAGAAATAATTTTCCAGTAGTTTAGTTGCTTCCTAAGCTTCTTTAATGCTCGGCGGAGGCTCAGACTCATCTGTCTCATCTTCTTCATCTCCTTGCTATTGATCCTCAGTCTTTCTCATTGAATGTAAAATTTTAAATTTCCTCGTCTGTGAGTGAAGCTGTTGTAAGGAGGCAGTAATCTACTACCATGTAGGTTTGAACATTTACCGTATTTCCTGCCATGTTAAACACTAGTCGTATTTGGAGGTAGAAATGCCAACTCTATGTTTTGGAGATTTGATATAAACGGGTGGGCAGGGCAGTTGTCATCAAGAAGTAGAATTTTTCGTCCCTTTAAATCTACATCCCATTTTCACACTTCTTCTTCTAAAAGGGAACTGGTCATCCTAGCTGATTTATTAGCTTTATACGTCACTGGCAAATTTTTAATGTTCTTAAAACAGCGCGGATTTTTTGATTTGCCTATTACCATTAACTTTTTTTTGTGCCATCCATATTAGCAGCCAAAAGCACCGTAATACGTTCCTTGGAAAGCTTTCCTCCCACACACTTTTCCCATTTAAATTTCAGAGTTTTATCTGGAGTCAACTAATAAAAAAAATCCTGCTTCATCAGCATTGAAAATGTCACTTGGCGTATATTTTTCTGTTAATTTTGACCACACTCCATTAATCCAATCGTGAGTCACATTCGTATCAACACTTCGTGCTTCCCCACAAATTTTACCATAGTTGATATGATGACGTTTCTTGAATTTTCCGAGCCATCCTTCTGATGCTTTGGAAGAAGTTAATCCAAGTTCTTCAGCAAAATTCTCCGCCTTAGCTTTCACGAGGGGCCCTGAGATAGGCATGTTATTCTGGCGCTGTCGATGAAACCATGATAGTATAGCTTGATCCAAATCTTCGTATTTAGGTCTCTTTAGTTTTTTGGAAGATCTCCCCTCGCCCTCAGCTTGGAGAATTTTTTCTTTATTTTTCCATATTGTATACACGGTAGAGCGACTAAATCCAAAGCGTTTGCCAACATCGCTTATCTTCTCTCCCGTTTCTATTGCGCGTATCAGTAAAACTTTTTCGTATACACCCAGTGATTTTCTTACTAGCCATGTTTACAGTTTGAGATTTTGTGAGCAACTGAGAATATGATAACTTATAGGTAATACAAGACTCCTACTTATGGTCAAAAACCGTCAACACGTGTAAGCAATTTGTAATTATAAACAAAAGAACGAATTTCTCAGAAAGTTCGGTATGCATGATACCGACAGTCGAGTTTATTGCGGGCTAGGATAACAAAGCGACAAAGGAACGTACACAGATGCGCAGTTTTTACTAATTTTAGAAACTTAAAAGGTACTTTTTATTACTTAATTGTTGTCATTATTGAGAGTGGGTGTAACGCTGTGTGAGTGTAAAAATACATATAGGAAAATATATTTTTTTAAAACGATCAGAAGCTTTCGCGATCCACTGCGGCGAAAAATTTGAAAGACATGTGTCTTTACATACGATTGTCCAATAAGCGAAGGCAATATAACAAACTGGATGGACTAATTAAAAAGTCTAACAACTTACTTTATTTTTGAGAAAATATAAAAACATATCAAAATTTTGTCATCGCTTTGAGTAATTTTTAAATACCTAATTTTATCAACTTCTTTAACTTATACTACCTAGATTATAAACACCAGCAACTAAATCGTTATCAACGTTATTACTTGGTTTAATATGTTACATATTAACAATTAATTTAAAGTAAACAATGAATAAAGTTTATCTTGTTTCGTTGGCTTAAGCTACACAAAATATTCAAGACAATCACAACATCTAAACACCATTTACTAAAACATTAAATATACCTTGAAATCTATTCAGATTGTTATTATCCCAGTTAATTTCTATACATAGTGACGTACTTTTCAATTAAAGAACAAACAGTTTTACAACACTTGCATCCCATTATATGTTTATATTAATATTATACAACAGTAATATGTAAGCAGTTATAGACATTGATTATTCCCATATTATTCACACATATTCTTAATACCGTTCTTGTTCAATTGTTGAACATAACTCTTCTGAACTTTCACAGAAGGTTGCGTAGTTATAGTACGACGGACATTTGTATCCGGTTCTGTAAAATTTGTCCCAAAATATCGTATTAAATACAAGAGACGTATAAAAGTTATGGACGTTAAATATCATTTTGAAGATCTTATGAAATGAATTCTTATTCAAAAGATAGAACTTGATAGGTCGGTTCACTTGTGTGAATAAATTATATTGATAGTTAACTAACTCATATCGCTAAGATAAAGGGAGAGAGAGCTAAAGAGAATTCTTGAAAAGTCATATTCTTTTATATTAATTTCTTACTCCTATAAGATCCTGGTGACAGGGACGTATCCATATGCACAAGGTATTGTCGCGCCTTCTTACCGGACCAATCTCTCATATTTGGATCAGCATCTGAAAGAGATTACATTTAACTCTGAACTCTGGATTTCTTGCAGATATAACTATGTTAAAACTGAGTTAATATACATAGGCATGTTTTAAGTTATGGTTATATTTAAACGAGTTTAATAAACAGATGGCGCTGTTATCACTGTTTTAAGCTCTATCTGTGATTGTAAACGAACATAGTCGTCGGGCAAAACGCCATCTCGTGATGATAATAGAAAAGTAACAGTTTAGATTCAACCATACGTGTCACTAAGCGCTGATATGAGGCTGGGAAAATGAACATGTTTTGATACCTTCTCTTTACATTAGATAGTTTAAGCCTGTGTTCAACAGTTTTATATTTTTGTCGCTAGATGTCGTCAATTTTTAAATAAGCGGTATAATTTTTGCTTACATAACTGTTGTGACTATTAAAGAACCTTTGCAATTTATATTTATGAATCATGTGACTGAGTTTTAATTAACAATAAACCAAATAGTTGTTAAGAATCGAGATAATTAAAATGTTATCGATATTATCTTCAAGCAGACTTCTCCAATTAAATAAAGTTTCTCTATTATAAATATTGAATTAAATAATGTTTCTCTTGGTATCACACGGGATTAATCTGTTGGTTTGGAGTTTGATTTTTTTATATTACATATCTAAAATGATATTTTCAATACGTAATTATCGGACTGATTTCACACATTTGATTAAAAATACAGAACAATTTAGAAGATATTATGAAATCACAAGATATTTTTTTAAACTTACCGTACATTTCAACCAAGAGTCTATAGACGTTTTCATGTCTGAACTGCATCGCAATGTGTAATGGTGTGTACCCCTGTAATATATTTCTTTACCATTAGGTAAACACATAGAGAATAGGTAGAAAAAAATTCTGAATTAAAGTTTTAGATCTTCTTATAAATAAGATCAAAGCTAACACTTTATAGATATTGGACACAAGTTTGCTTTTCTATTATGAAATTGTTCCATCGCAATAGCTTTTAAAAAGATTAAATACACACGAGAACAGCGAAAGACTTACTGGATTTTGTTATGATTTTCACCCTATCTCCTAAGAAAAACTGATGTAATATATCAGTCTCAATATTATTTAATATAATCCATAGATATTAAAACTGAAATATTCCTGATAGGCAGTAACAGCTGTAAGGAAAGGGGAAAACTTCCAAGTCAGTATAGTTTCTTTTGTTTAAAAACGCTCGCGAATGCTCAAAATTTTAGGAATATTTTAGAAACTTGTTTTGAGAAACATTTGTAAGTGTATATTTTACCACTACAGGAATCTGAACCAAAGTTTTGAATTCAAATCAATGATACAGTTCTAATATAGATTTAAACTCGACTTGTATTTTATTATGTCATAAAGGATATATTAGTGGCACTTTGATAGACAAGATCTCCCTAGGATCCACAAGTAGCTAGGCAATAAAACAAAACTTACTCCATTCTGGTAACGGCAGGCGAAACAGCACATGAAAAAGAATAATGTCCCATTAGGATAGCGTTAAAGCTAAACGAAGCAACAAGTTTTTATTTGGCTTCTATATTATTATATCAGAAATTTGATTAAATTTGAATAGAAATTAATATTTATCAACTCGTTGTGATAAATCGTTTTTGTTACTAGAAATATGTACAAAGTAGAGTAGTGCTACCTTACATCAGCAAATACATATATTATAACTAAATCAAACAATATGTTTATAACCAACATGCAACATGTCTTAAATGTAGATTGTAAATGTATGATACTAACCGAACGTTCGTTCACTATGTTTCGATGTATGCCAGCGAGCAGCTTCACCAAATTTTCATCCCCTCTTTTACACGCCCAATGCATTGCGGTCTAGAATAATTATTAACACGTGTCACAGTGCGATATGAATAAACTCTTTGTTTTTTTCAATTATATTATGTTAAAAACACGAAGAACATTTTCATAACGTCAAATATTCTTCAATAATAATTGATACCTAAAAGTTGCGTTCAAGCCTTTTTTTTGTTTTATTTGCGATACAATCTCATAATAGCAAATTATGAATCTAAGCCTAAACTCTGAGCACGATATCATCACGGAATATTTTAGTAGATCGGCTAACAAATTACTTGATTGCCATCCTTTTATTTTTAGTATGTAAAACACTGACGGACAATATAATATCAAAATTATGGACCAAGATAATAGGAACGTATTAGGATGATTTGCATCCAGATTAAAGATGATATTTTAGTTTAGGTAGGTGCTATTACTATAGTTATATGAATTAGGCTTGTGGGTGATTGAGGCCACCTTTAATGTGTCCGATTATTTCGGACGTTTTTATACGTCTTACATGTATTTTTTTATTGAAAACATGCACTTCGACATTCCTGTAATTACAAATTTTAAACTTTAATCTATATTTACTAATCGTGCAATAAAAGTATTGTTATCGGCCAAAGAGTCATAAGATTTAAAAAAGGTGACTCTAAAAAAACCAAAAGCTATAACAAGGCAGCCAGCTGGACCGGTTGGAGAGTAAACAGAGCAGGATATTACTTTATCGGAGGGCAAGCAATCGTATGTACAAGGTGTAGGCGTGATACTAGCTGATTCAGTAGAGCGGGCGTTCCTAGCTTCGAGAAATATAGCACCCGAGGGGCGCTGTTCATTTGCAGCGGTCGTTCAATACGATTTCCCACGTAGACCAAAATTGGCAGTATTTTAGCGTGTAACCTTGTCTCCGTTTATTCGTTTCCAATCAATTTAGTCAAAGTGTTTTGCGTTTCGTGCAGTGCGATGCAGCTCTATTGTGTTCTGTTTGCAACTCTTGTTTGTATTCAATTTGTCTGCATGGAGATTTGTTTGGCGAATATTGTTTTGTTTTTTGTTTTTGTATTGCCATCGAAATGTGACATCATTTTATTTATTATATTGAATAAAATCAACATTAAACAGGGTAACGAGGTGTGTTCCTAAAATGTTTTAACCCCATTAAAAAAATCCATGAATTATATATTTATGAGTTACGCAAACAAAATTTGGTCCAATAAAATCTATTTAGATTGGCCCGTAAGATAATTCAAGAGTCAATGATATCCCAGTTTATAACGTACCGATGAAAGGGAGATAACGTTAGATTTATGCACGAGCACTTACTTAATGGACTTTGTTACTAATTAGGAAGAGAACGGTCTCTGTTAACATTGTTACGTTTTACATAATTTAAGAAGAATAATAATAAATGTATATACTCACATACTGCCCGTGTTCACACCACCGCAACATGCAACAGCAAAATGTAAAAAAAAAAACTTGATTAGCTCATAAATACTAAAATTAAGGGGCATAATCCTATTACAAACAATGCTATACTTGAATGTATAGAAATAGTTTACTTAATCTTTATTACCGTTAAGTTTTAAAACCCAATTCCGGTACTAAGTCATAAAGATTCTAATATAATAGTTATAATGTGAAAATCAGATTACGTCAATCATATCTATCAATAATTACGTGTTATATAAACATGGTACTTTTTTTTAAATCCATTATACATTCATATTTTATCGTGGTATGTGTCAAATTTCTTTCACCTGCCATCGCCAGCGGGCAACTTAGCGCTGATATTGATCTATTTTGACCAAGAGTTTAACGCCTATATCATTTTATAATTTCGCCACAGATATAATGTTCCTATAACCGACACAAATAACGGTTGTTAGACGACATCTGCTATAAACACACATTTTAATTACTTGAAGGTCAGATAATAATTTGTCGTCCAATTACAATGTTATATTAAATGTTAACGTCGTTCGTTATGTGGCGTGATAGAAACAGAGGTCGATACATTTTTTTCTATACAACAGTTACTGACAAATAAAAATGAAAAATAGCATAAACTCAATCAATATCTCTTAAAATCCATGACTCGTTAATAAAATAACCAAGTCAAGCGAGTTATTAATTTACAATGTATCTGTAGTATATATTGTGGTATAAACTAAAATGTTAATTAATTTAGAGGGTAATAAGTTAATGTTATAAACAAGATCAATAGATAAGCTAGCTGTGAGATAAAAGAAGATTAAGACCAACGGACATGACAATGTTGAGAATAAATTTAAAACGTGCCCTGTTATGCTACTAGGCCCCTAGAAGGCCTAATACCGGAATTTTGGTCATTGTTTCCGGGTCACTCAGCCGAATTTACTAATTTATTGTACGCTAAGCTAATAAATTTCTAATGGGATTACTCCGTTCAGAGCTGTATAATTTTGTTTGAAATAAATTGCTCTTTAGACTTTAAATCTCAAATCAAAGTTTTCGCAACGGGATAGAACTCTCAGCATCAAATAGTTGTTCTTGAACGAGATACGGTAAGGCCAAGAAAATGTATAAATTTGTTTAATGTATTGTGTATAATCAATGTTAAATATTTTTCGTCAAATATATGTCATGGTATACATATATGTATATATATATATATATATATATATATATATATATATATATATATATATCATATTGTTGGAAACAAATTTAGGTTAAGTTTGATGATTTTAATCGACACTCTATTATAATCATAAAACACTATATATGGGTCTCTATAGCCTTGTTTGACTTATAATCAATTATGCTGTCTCGACATCGTTTTGCACTAAGATTTTCTTAGTAATAACTTTTACGATGAAAATATAGTACCCGTCTAGACCCAGGCAATTTTATTTAATCAACTGAAATGATATCTCAATACCTACTTGTTTTAAATTAACAACTCTGCGACGAATCACAGTCATTTAATAAATACTAAGATGTTTCGTTTTAGAGTCCATAAAACTATTCAACTTCCGTCCACTCGAATGTGTAAATTATAGGTCACTTTAACGTTCTTAAAAAGCAATTTTGTGTTCTTTTGACCGGACGGTGTTATCTACGTTCTGTTAACTCGACTCAATGTTTTTGAAATTCGTTTCATTTCGGTGACAGTGGTGTAAAAAAATATCCAAACATAGTGAACTCTTTAATTTGTGTATCAGATGTTCCCTATTTTATCTTAACTTCTTTTAAAAACGAATGTTGATGTTACCGTATAAATAATATAAATTTAAATTAACATATAGATAGAATAAAGAACCTATCATAGTTTAAACAATATCATATACGTAAGAACTTTTTTACGTTGATACTTTTCCGATTACCGAAATCCTTTTCCACACGGTGTGACGGTCACTTGACCTTAGCCGTGTCAGTATCCGGTGTGAGCGACATCCTGAACACGGCTATATTGATTGCGTTTGCATGTACGTCAATTAGCATCCGCGGGACGATGCGTCTTCCACTATAATTATCATCTTGTCACACATCTAGTTGTGTCACTGTCTCCGTGAATTGATGTGTAATGGATTTGATGCTATAAAATAAGACGGGTTAATCCCCGTGTTGATATAGTACCGAAATTAAAAATATATATAATGTATTATTATGTATAGTCTATGTAAAGGTTTGTAATAAAATAATTTCGTATTGATTATAGTAATACTTACACCCTGAAGTCAAAAGAACGCACCCACCAAAATATATGGAACAGAAAAAACATGGTTAAATAGCTGTACATTTATAAAATAATGTTATAAAAACTTTTCAGAAATCCTTTTCCACAGCACACTTACCGTGAAGGGATCCTGGAACAAAATAAATTGATGCTTTTAATGATGTAATACTTATGTATAATATTATAATATGCACAATGTAAGACTTAATATAGTAATGAGGAATTTAAATAGAAAAAAAGCAAATACAAAAACGTGAACGTGGATATCATATAATCTGTTCGTTTATTCATATGTATTTCAACCTTATTCTACAAGAAAAGATTTTACTTTTTTTGGATTTAATTTCATTTAAGATAATCTGAGGTTTCGGTACTTTAAATTTGAAAATAACGAAACTTTTACCTTTTCCAATTAAAGGCGATTACTAGTATAGCACATATTAAATAGAATTAAATGCTTGTTGGACGGCGATCTAACTTATATACATGCGTTACAAAAACTCAAGTTTGTAATTTATATTTTGCTTCACCACAAGTAAACAGAAATGACAATGTCAACAAATCATCAAAAAAAAAATTCTTGCGTTGAACAAAACACACATTGTACAAAAAAAAAAAATAAGCAAGAAGGGTGTAGCGAATCCCTGCTGGAACAGCATGTACATTGGCAATTTATTTTGCTAAACGAAAAGAGAGCCAAATACGAATTAACCATTAACTCCATATCATAATGTACTACGCTCGCCGAATCACCTACTAAACGGGAAAAAACGTAGATAAAAGTCGCCGTACATTCCCATGGCTGAACTCTAAAGGGTTTTAATACACCCATAATCGACGGTGGATTGTATGAAATATGTAATGCCTGTAATAGGTGTTCGCGTAGCTTCCTCAGCGGTCGCTCGGCCAATTTCCCCGATCGTTATAGCTTTAATAATCTCATCAGTGCTGAACCCATGCGTGTACAAAGATGGGGGTAATGACTGCCAGCGATGCCCGCCTTCGCAGCGATAATTCACATTCAATAAATCTATTTGGCCAGGTTATTGCCTTTGTTAAAGCCAGGCGATGTTAGGAATAACGCTTTATCGGGGAAATCTTGTTAAAAAGCCCATTTATTTCCTCGAGCAAGATAAATCACGACGTCAAAAAATTAAGAGTTATAAATTCTCAAGTCAAAACATCGCTGTAAAATTATTTAATTGATGAAATTAAAAAAAAAATCTAAAAGTTACCCATAGCAATTAATCTCAATCATAAAAGCGCGGAACAGTAAATAATTAGTCATCGAATGTCGTTACGAGTAATGTGTGTCACCCGTGTAAATGATACTTTCGTATGGATATGAGCGTGGTGAATGGGGATTTCTAAAATAAGGGGTAATTTATTATCGAAAGCACTGCACGCGGTGACGCAAACATTCGTCGACAGATATTAAGCGCTCGAGCACTGCATCAAAACGAAGCGAACTCGATACACACTATCCTCTCTTCCCGTGTTCCGTCCGAAAGTAGTTCATACATCAAAGACTTGACAAATAACATATCATTATTCTATCTTGTTAACATTGACTTTATCAAAATGGTAGCATTATCCTTTGATTTGAATCGAACAAATGCATCGATGAAAATACATCAGCCGTACATAAAGTACATGCATGAGAACAGTACACGGGCCATCGCAAAACCGATAGCCGTTAATTATGCACTAAACGCTCATAATTACGTTCTGTAGGTTCGGATTCGAGAGTGTATATTTTTTTTCTGTGAGGACGAATACGAAACATTGTGAATTTAATTGCATGCCTGTTAGCGTCTCACCCCAAGGATGTGTCGTTAATAGAGCGTTGTCTCTTCATTTTGTTTGAACGTTCACTGACTCTGTTATTTCGGAGCGGTTAATAAATTGCACGATGACAGGTGTCAGCTGCTCCAACGCCTCTGCACTCTTGCGCCGATGTCTCATTCCTCACGTTCTACTCCTAAATTCTCTTATTTTATCAACGCTACGTTCAATTTTCGTTTCGTTCTCTAGCAATTCTATTTGTTTGCATTAATAATATAGTTACACTCCAATATATCTGCTTGGCTTGAGTTGATTTTATACCTCACACATTTTGGTATACGCACGTTGTTTATCCGATTTGAATTTACACATGATTTTATAGTTTTGTGTTCGCTGACATTTTATTAGACTGTAAGCATTTTGCAATAAATCGATGTAAAAGCTTGTTGCCCGTTCAAAAAATAAATAGTCGTACAATAAACAAGTGCTTATGTCACATTATTTACATTTTATTAGTGTCATTTATTATTAATAAAACAGTGTCTTAATAATAAATCCTTTATTTGTGAATACTATAATTAAAACAAATATAATTTAAGAATATTGAGGTAAGAATAAGAGTTTTATAATTAATTTATTGATTTTTTCGAGGAAAGAGATAAGAAACGCTTTAAGTAGTTTATGTTGTTATAAATTAGGTGTCTGTGGACAAACTCGAAAGAAGATTTATATGACAAAATGCAGTAAAGCATCCTGCAAGCTGAGAGTTGGCATTACGCTTTGATTGACGCTTCTAACTCACTTCTCTGTCGGCAACGTCGTAAATACTTACGTTCTTAACCAGACACAAATAACTAATTAGACTTAACATGAATTCAATTCAATCGTGACATAATCAACAAATTTAGAAAATCGCATGAATATCTTGATATGAATTACTGTTATCATGCTAAAGGCAGATAAAATTTATGGTATGTATATTATAATAACATAGTACAATAAAACATTCAAAATTTATATGTCTTAAGATGAAATCTAGAATTATATTATTATATATAATAAATCACATACATCTTTTTACTATCGTTAATTACTTGGTATATAAATAAAGCACCCATTGACTCGGACGAGACCCGCCGCGCCGAAGCGCCGACACGCAAATGCACTTATGTCTGTCCGTGAAAAACTGTTCAAGTCCTGTCGCTTAGCCGAGCCATCAGATGTTTAGAGTCATTGCATTCAGGTTACACAAAAAGTAACAGGTTACAAATCAGTGTAACAATAAGTGTACGCTTTTGTTTCACTGATTTATTTTATACAACCTTGAAATGGTCGTTGTGATGATAATTATGCGGATGCGTTCTACAGTACAACTAGAAAGTCATTCCAATTGAGAATCAAGCGGATTACCATATCGCCCTAAAAGTGACACCTACTTTTTATTATAGAATCAATTTTGATATTATCATAAACAAAAACCGCTATCAATTAGTTTCAAAATATTTATAGAGAATGTTAATCGTCATAAACATACATTCAAATCAATAAAAATAAACAGAAGCCAATCGATTATTGATACAAATAAATTGTGTGGCCAAAAATGAACATCAATAAATTGAAAAGTTGAAAACATATCATCGATTATCGTAAACAGCTGGCGGGCATTATGCAAAACGGAGCATTCATCGCATCAATTCAATGGCGGTAGCGACTTCGGCGACACTATAATTGAAATCTACCGCATGCGCCGGCGCAAACGAGCTCCCTCCCATGGGCCCCAAAATGCCTATATTTCAGTTCATCCATATAATTATTTACTTGAATCTAATATTCCGCCCACTCGCAAAATTATACCCCATTAAAAAAAATGTTATATAATTTTTTCTATCGATATCTCAGTAATTTTCTAACATATTATTTACACAATAAGTCAACCACTTGGTTATATCATCGAAACTTGGCAATTTGCTTAAAACCAAAACTTTGGTAAAACAAAGGTCTCATTAAAATCTTCAAAAGAACTTTATTCTAAGTTGTCAGTTCTATCATTAATCTCTGTTATCATATAATAACTTAACATCGGTTAGGATAAAATGATAGAACAATATAGTTCCGTTACCTTTAGGAGGCAAATGAACACAATTAAGTAATGCTAATGAACTATGTTCAATTGGAGTGGAGAAAATTGTAAAGCTTTCTGTCTACCCCATCTGTAGTTAATTTTATTTAATTAATTGATTGCGGCACCGTACCCGTCCGTGGCGGTTAAGAGTAAATCTTTGTAAGATTCGGCGTACAAGACAAGGAATCGTCGCGACTAGCAACACAAACGGCTTTCTATAATAAAGAAACGGGCGTGTCCGAATGCGATTTATAAGTTATAAATAAGTTTGAAATCTTTTATTCAAATATATGTTCGAGGGAAACAATCTCTATCTTCAAACATGATTTAAACAAGCAGCTTTTATTATTCTGATCTGACTTTTACTGTTTAGTTAGAGATTGATAGATAAAAATTAAAAGTAAGCAAAAGGTAGCTGTCGTTTTTTAAAAGACGATAACCTAGTAACCTAGTGGTAACCTAGTGGTATTTTAAGCTCGTTTATTATTGTACATAGAAATTATACACTGTTTATTATTAGGTATATCTATATAAATTACTCTATACAATTTAAGTAACCTTACTATATTGAATTATAATTAAACCCTAATTGACATATTTTAAAAGATTATTGTGTTTAATTAATATTAATATAATTATTAATATTTATATGTATACACATTCGTGGCATGTTTACGTGTTTACAAGTAATTGTTTCAACATCTACAGCTACTTCATCCTAATTAATGTGCTCTAGGTTGTCTGGTAGATCACCCCTAGACGACAAGACCGCCTTTTGTTTCGCCCGTTTTCAAACATTGTTTGTTTTTTTCCTGCATTTTTTACTGACTCTAAGTTGGTGTTTAATAATATATGGATAATGATAAATTATTCGAAATGTACTTCCTCTTTTGCGACATCCATTGTTGTTTATAAATTTTGATTAGACTTATTTAAAATAATTAGATTTTTGAATGCACGAGTTTCAATATTCCGAAAACATCCAATGAAAATTAATATAATATTGAAAACAAAGCCTCATCCATTTTTGTTCATAAAATTAAATAAAAACAATACATAAATCACTAGTCATTAAATCGTATGGCTCGTTTGATCCGCAAATAAAACACCAAATGCTTCGGTATAATTGTTAACATATCATATCGCATTTGTTTAAACAAATAAAGGCTTCGGTAGGCAGTTCCTAATTAAAAACTATATTCAGTCGTCGTATATTACATATG